CGCAGCGGGAGTTAGAGCTTTGGAGATCGAGGCGCAGGAGCGATCATTCGCTGATCGTGATCATGCCCTTCTGAATCTTCAAAATCGTGAAAAAGAGGAGGCTGAGGGGAGTTCCGCCCCTGGTATGGAGTTTCTGGCAACCGAACCATCGCTACCCGTACAATCGACTGACCCGGGCTGGTTACAGGCTGATTACTCTTCTTCTTCTTTCGACCCTTTACCTCTTGATTACTTCCTTTCCTACGAGAATCCGATTCTCGCTTCTGTGGATTTTTCCGATGGTACTCACGTACCAGTGACTTGCAGTTCGTCAAATTTTCCTCCGGTTCCCAAGTGTTATAGCTCTCTGGCCATCCTTGCCATTTGACTAGGTACTTCCACTGACTGCCGATTTTCCGTAGGTCCTTGATTTCCTCGACTACGTACTCGTCGTCTTCGAGCTCGATATCTTCCATTAGCTCGGCGTTTTGGGGTGCTGGTTCCAATAGCTTCTTGTGGAACACGTTGTGTATGCGCATGCCTGGTGGTAGCCGGAGTTTGTAGTTTACTAGTCCAATTGTCTCTAGGATTTCAAATGGTCCTAATCGGAGATTATCCAGTTTCTTGCTTGGCCGTTTAGTCTTCAGGTTTTGTTGTGACAAAAAGACTTTGTCCCCCTTCTTAAAGGTTGGTCCCTCAATCCTTTGTTTATTCGCAGCCTTGGATGCCGTAAGGTTCCTGTAAGCTATATTCTTGCTCAATTGCTCGTGCAATTCTCGCATTAGTCGAGCTTTGTCGTCTACTCCAACTGCAATGCTTTTAATATCCTTCGGATCTCGATGAGCAACCGGCTCATATCCGTAGTTCGCGTAGTGCGGAGAGTATTTCGTCGTTGCCGATTTTCTACTATTGTACGCCAATTGTGCTGTCGGCAAGAGCTTAACCCAGTTGTCTTGCAGCTTGTTGGTGTAGAATCGCAAATACTCCTCTAGCGTCTGGTTCGTTCGTTCCGTCTGTCCGTCTGTTTCTAGGTGAAAGCTAGTCGATAGCTTTTTCTTGATTCCCATCTTTGCTAGGAACGTTAACTAATGTTTCAACGTAAACAGCTTATCTCTGTCTGTAATAAATTCCTTAGGTATCCCATGCTCTAATACTAGTGCTTTCTAGACTTCATACGCGCATTCATCTGCCGTAATAGTTTCTTCTGTGGGCACAAACTTGGCTCCTTTAGTTAATCGACATACGATTACTAGGATTGTGTCGCAAAGTCGAGCTGATCCTGGTTCTAACGATTTCGGGAGCTTCACTATGAAGTCCATCGTTACACTACTCCATAGTCGTGTTGGTGGCGGTAAGGGTTGTAACAGGCCGTAGGGCTTATGTCTCTTAGGCTTGTTCTAGTGACATGCCAAACAGTTGCCTAGGACTTCCTGCACCTTCGCTCGCAAGCGTGGTATATCAAACATCCTTTTTAGTCTTCTAACTATTTCGTCTACCGCTGCGTGTCCATATTCTAGGGACTCGTGCAGGGTCTTGATGAGTTCTGTTCTCATATAAGGAGGCACATACGTTCATGTTCCTTCTCTCAAAGCCGTGAGTTCTATCCTATTATTAGTTACTTCTGGCGGGTATTCTAGTTCCTGTCGCCATTGCGTGGCTTTCTCTTGCCATTGTTGTTGAAGAGTCGTGACTTGGTGAGCTACTACGCTGACCTTGACTAGGTCAGGCTTGTTATACCTCAAGCTTCTATCAGGCATCTGCCTGAGGACTGCGTTGTATGGCTCCTTGTGTCCTTCTTCTCGTAGGTCGGATCTTCGGCTTAGAGCATTAGCGGCTCCGTTGAGCGATCCCGCTCGGTGCGTTATTTTAAAGTCAAATTGGGCGAGCATTTCGGCCCATCGAACTTGTCGTCGGTTGAGTTTCTTGGTTGTCATGAAACTCGTTAGGTTCTGGTGATCGGTGAATACTTCGATCATGTCTAGGAGACCTAACAGGTACACCTCCTATTGTTCAAAGGCGTCGACTACTCCAAGTAGTTCCTTGTCGTGAACATCGTAGTTTAGTTCTGCTCCTGAGAACTTTCGTGAATGGTAGAACACTAGTCTCCATTTCCCATCTAGGCACTGCTATGACAGTACAGCTCCTAGTGCGTAATCGGACGCATCGGTCTTAACTCTGGTTTTCCGTCTTGGATCGTACATCTCTAGTACGGGTGCTTCGAGGAACATCTGCTTTAGTTCTTCAAAGGCTTCCTAACATTCTTTAGTCCATTTAAACCCTATGTCTTTCTTCGTAATCTCTGTAAGTGGTGTCGTAATCTAGAAGTAATTCCTAATAAACTTTTAGTAGAAGTTCGCAAATCCTAGGAAGGATTGCACGTCCTTAACTGTTTTAGGTTTTGGCTATTCCTGTATAGTCTAGATTTTCTTTAGATTCATCTTAACACCTTCTGTTAAGATAATAAAGCCTAGGAATTCCATTTCCTGCGTGTGGAATTCACACTTCTTGGCTTAAAGGTATAGCTTATATTCTTTAAGCTTTCGTAAGACCTTCTTGACATGTTTAACATGTTCTTTAAGCGATCCTCT